ACAGGATCTCTGGAGGCTGTTTGTAATTGTAATCAATGTTCTGGGAGAACGGGAAGCAGCTCCATTTTTTGGGGGACCCTTTACACAGCTCAAGGTCTGGGTCCCAGGGTCCACCTTCATGTTCCACCAATGAGTTTGTTCACAGGGGGTGGAGTGTGTAGGGGATGTCCTGATATGTGTGTAAGGAATGCATTGTGTGAATCTGTGTTTGTATGTGTAAGGGCTGCAAGGTGTGTTTCTGTGTATGTACGGGATGCACTGTGTGTGTCTGTGCAAGGGATGCATTGTGTGTGTAAGGGATGCATTATGTGTAAGGGTTGCATTGCTTGTGTATGTGTTTCTGTGTGTGTAATGCATTGTGTGTTTTTCTGTGTGCAAGGGTTGCATTGTGTGTGATTATGTGTGTGTGATGGATGTCAATCTCTCTCCCCCCTCCTTGTCTCTCTCTTTCTCCCCCCCTCCTTGTCACTCTCTTTCTCCCCCCTCCTTGTCACACTCTCTTTCTCCCCCCCTCTTTGTCACACTCTTTCTCCCCCCTCCTTGTCTCTCTCTTTCTCCCCCCCCTCCTTGTCTCTCTCTTTCTCCCCCCTCCTTGTCACACTCTTTCGTCCCCCCTCCTTGTCTCTCTCTTTCTCCCCCCCTCCTTGTCACACTCTCTCCCCCCTCCTGTCAGCCCCTCTCCTCAGGCTGCGCCCAGGCAAAGCTGCAGCCGGCTAATGTTCTCTGCAGAGCGCTCGGGCGGCTGCGTAGTCCGCCTAACAGGTAGCGCCAGCCCTGCCACAATAATATGGCAAAGGTACAGAGACAGGAAGTGGCTTATATAGGCCAAGAACCAGACACCTGACCAGACACAGCTGAAGAGTTGGCACTAATATCATTGCTTGTAGAGTCAAGATAATCAGATCTCAGGTAAATTGTCAAAAGGCATGCTGGTGAACTCCCACCTCCTGGACAGCATTCATTTTACATTCATTGTGATTTCATGGAACTGAAAACGGACACTTTTTCTGCCGAACACCGCTGAAGCCGCCGACCTCCCTTCTCAATCGACAGAAGGATGCGAACACCGGCCATTCGGGAGGTTTAAACACACGAATGGACTTACCCCAGATAGCCTTCCCATGGAGTCAATCACATACCGAAAGACTGTAATAGACTTTGACTCCATGGCGATTGAACTATGCGTATGGGATCTGAGCGCTATTCGCCAATAATATGCACTCAGATCCAGGCTATCTGGGTATACGTGATACGAATGGGTAGCATTCGACAAATGCGAAGTTATATATTTTTATGTGTTTTTCTGTGTTGAATTTAAAATGACGATTTGCCTCTGTCCTGGAGATAATTTAATTACTTCTCAATTATCTCCAGAGCAGAGGGGAGGGAATACTAATGCATTATGGGAATGTTCTGTGTCTGTGGGTCCTGACCTGTCATGTGTTTGTCTATTATTACAGTCTCCCATTTGGTCCCCTAGGGGAGTGTCCACGAAGTGGGAGACCTGCATAAATACAGGCAGGTAGCCCACAGTAAAGCGAGTTCTTGTTTTACCCTCAATGCTGAGCTTGGTCTCGTTATTGGGGGGATTTATTACCGACGACTAGAGACTGCTGGATGGAATTATTAGCCGCTTGGGAGATATATGCGTTCGGCTACTATTGGCGATTCGTGAGTTTGGAGCTCGTGGAGTGAAGTGCCCGTACGGATCCCGTTCGTGAGTTTGCAGTATTCCCTTGCTTGCAGTTCGCATGATTGTACTGGATATGCATGCAGCCTACGCTATTGCGAGAGGGGAGGATTCACTAAACGGCGGTTTGTGCATTTCATGCTGAGGGTACTGTAACATATACCTTTTGGGCACCCCTGTCCTAAATGATGCTGTGCTAGAGTAACTTTCACTCCATTTTAATGTGGATCTGTCAGACCTGCTGGTTTTATAATTATTGTTTCTAATGTCTGATAGTATATAGCGATACTGAGTGTTTATACATCCACCTAGAAAAACAGTTGTAGTATGATTGCAACCAAAATGTTTAGATATGCCATTGTGGTAGGAATAAACTAATCTGCATACAATAAAAACTCAACAAACAACTAAAAAAGAAAAAGAGGTGAAATAATGAAAGAGGGAATAAACTCACAGAGTGGCAACAAGGAAGGCAAAGGGTAACGAAACAGATGTTCGCCTTTTCTGCAAAGTAACAAATCACTATGAAAAGCAATATTGTGAAAGCGTAGTAGTCATTTGAAAACATTAAAATTACCGCTTCACAAATGATGCACCATAAAAATGTTCCTTCTGCTTTTGGAGAGAAAAACAAGTTAGACCCCTGCCAGCATTCCACATTACGAACGAAAATAACAATAAAATCACCTCCTTCGACACTTTAAGATGTTCCCAGTCAGCATCTAAAAACATACCCATTTCCATTTAAACATGCTTACATGTTCCCCCCAAGGTTTCATGTTACTTAAAGCAACAATTTCAGTTATGCTGTATGAATTTTCTCTGTAAGCTTATAAAAAAAACAAACCGCAAGGCAATAATTGGAGCCAATTTCCTTCTAGATGTTATTTTATTATCTTTTACATTTGGCTTGTAATGTGCGAAAACAACTACACGGGAATGGTTAACCTCGCATTCCAATAAAAGTTGCATGAGATTTCGTTATGTATATGAATTGCCATTTTTTAATGAAATTAATTTTATAATGATCAAAATGTAATATATCAAACTTTATTAATCTATGTTAAAGGACACTGTGGACACTCCATTTTTAGTGCAGTATACAAATAAAGCAAATAAAAAATAATGAAGATATGCACCTTTACAAACTATATAGCAGATGAAAACTGTAATCTAATTTCAATCATACAATTATTTTCAATAGGAATGGTGAACATATCCCACGAACCACCGCGCCACATGGGGTATGTGGTTAAAAATTTGGCAGTAGATTCGTTCATGAGAACATCTACCTTAAAACGCAGTCTATGCTGAAAGAAAGAGTGGTCCAATAAATGCTACCAGGCATGCTTTACGTCTATTCATAAAGCATTGAAAGAGTCACTCAGAGAGGTGGGGACTTCTATAGCATGTACCAACATTGCTTCCTCATGTGACATATTAGAGTAAGGGGGCGGGGCTTATAACTGGTCATTTAAAAATGAGCTTTGGCTACAAGAGAATTAATCGACCAAGTCATACCTGTTGCGGCTTTTTAATTATATAATACAATACTCTAAAGGCAACACCATCAAAAACAAACAAGTACAGCGCTACGAAATCTGATGGCGCTATGTAAGTAAAAAAAGAATAAAATAATAATCATAATAATTAAGGCTTAATATGAACCAATATTAGACAGTCCTGATCTAAGCTGAAGTCATTAATTAACATGTTAGACATATAGGGTGATTTGAGACTTCAGCAACATTTGTATTCCAATAATTGAGCTACAGTAAATATCGATGCATTCTTCAAGCACGGCACGTGACTCACTACACCTTTAAATTGTAGCTTACTGAAAGGAGGTATCTCAAAACTCATATTGAAAACCCCAATCTGTAGTGAAACCTGGCACTCGCTTACTCAGAGCCCAAATCTAGTGTCCAAGCTAAAACAGACTGGGTGCCCCTTCAGGATCTGGTCACCTCAGCCTTCGAGAGTGTCCTCTTAAATAAACACATTACCCAGGCTTCAATATTCCTCATCTCTGTCTGTCTAAATGAAACCACTAACGTGCATCAAAGTGGATCACCAATGCTAGTGATACTGGAGACTATAAATAACACCCATCTCCTTTCAAATAAAATATAATAAAGATACACGCCTATAAAGATACACAATTTACAGATTTTACTATTAACATGACGTAAAGTCATGATTTTATTAATGACACGGAGGCGAGTATTATGCTGCACTCTTTCTTTATTTACCTCAGCAGCAAAGAAAAATAACATTAAATCAGTATAAAAGAAACCAGTAAATAACATATATATATCTTCCTAGCAACAGCAACAGCCAATCAGCATCCTCTTTATAGCATAATAGGCAATGTCCAGTATCCTACTTCCTCTTTCTTGCGATCCCGAACAAGGACAACAAATCCAAATAAAAAGTGGGCTCCAATTAGAGGGTATACGAGCCTTAAACTGGATCTCGAAGTCAAGCTGGAAGAGAAAAGAGAATATGGTAGTATCCAAGTATAAAACTGGATTTATGCATAAATTCGCATTACATGAAATATCAGATATATATATACACATAACATGAAATTCAGTTTAGTCAAACCTTAAGCTCTTGACAGTCATTAACAAGGATAAAACCCAGTAATCAAAAAAGACTTACCGTGAAGTCAACTTACCCAGAGAAGACCAAATCTCCAGGGATGGGAGGGAGGGATAATACTCGCCTCCGTGTCATTAATAAAATCATGACTTTACGTCATGTTAATAGTAAAATCTGTAAATTTTATTAAGACACGGAGGCTCCTATTATGCTAGTTCAAAGCTGTGAAATGATGTCTCCTGTGAAGTGTTGAATAGGTCTAAAGTAGAAATCATGGAATGTAGACTCCGAAGACCAGCCGCTCTCATAATATCCTCCAAGCGACAACCAATCGAGGAAGCCTTAGAAGCCATTGCCCTACGAACCGAATGAGGCACTGACACATAGGTATCAATACCTGCTAGAGACATAACGTATTTGACCCACCAGGCTAGAGTAGACACCGGAAGATGCGACTTTTGGAAGAGTTCCTGTTTCAAAGGATTCTGTAACATAGTAGAACGATGTTCACACACCCATTAGTATGCAACAGGGCAAAGGAGAGATCTATCAGGGAAAACTGGGTAAGATAGATTTTAGAGGAGGTTTTTGTCCTCCGTGAAATGTCAAAGAGGACACCTTCTGGAGTAAAGGAACGAGCAACCACCTCACGGGCTCGTACGTCAGAAAAACCTCTTGCAAGAATAAATAAATAAATAAAAAAAATTCAAGACAATAGAGACTTCCCACAAGACAGAGTATTGTGGTAAGGATGAATGAGCAAACCATATTCCTCAGAGAAGTCAATATATGACAGGATGTCAACCGACAGGCGTCCAATCAAAACTTTGATGGCCAGCAGAAATGGACGATCGGTAAGGTCCACAGTGCGATAGGCTTTACCTTCATCATAGAAGTCAGAAAAATGGAGGACAGACATAAAAGGAGCCGATATGGGATTTAAATTTAATTTCATGCACCAACTATGCCATCTGCTCCAAGCAGATTTATAAGCCTGTCTCGTGTTGGGTGCACCCTTGATAAGTTGGGGAGTTGATTGCGAAACTCCCTTGACCGACCAAGGTTCCCTGAAATAGACTACACTATGAGATGCAAGAGACCTTGGAGAACAAGAGGATGAGGTACACCATCTGGATCCTGAAGAAGGCACTCGAGAGATGGAAGGTCGATAACCATCTCCTGAAGAAAAGAAAACTATGCTTGGGATGGCGATAGAGGATCCACGATCAACAGGTGCCGGACTGGCGATGTACATGGAAAGGCAAAAAAATCATAATTCCTTGGAGAAAACATTCATAGCCAATGCTATCGGATCTGGTCTCCAACTGAAAAAACGGGGAAGTTGAGCATTCAAACGAGAAGCGAAAAGATCTATTTCCAATAGACCCCATAGGTTCCAGATGTCTTGGAAGACCATGGAATCCAAGTGCCAGTCGCTGGAATCTCCGAGTTGGCGTGAATACCAGTCCGTCGTAGTGTTGGAGAGACCTTGAATATATTCTGCCGTGACTGAAATGCCGTGTCTCAGGCAAAATTGCCAGCAATCACGAGGCATGTAGGTCAGAATTTTGTATTTTGTGCCTCCAAGTGATTGATGTAGCGGACTGCTGACACGTTGTCCATCTTCAGAAGGATAGCGCATTGGGCTTGAGTTGGGGAGAAACTATGGACTGCAAAGGAACCGGGTGTTCCAAACAATTGATGTGGAGTGTTGATTCCAGGTTTTATTATCTGCCCTTGGTGGAAATAGTTCTACATTGAGCACCCCAACCGTGCAAACTTGCGTCGGATTTGATTATCAAATCTGGAGCTGTACAAAATATGGTGTGCTTATTC